CACTAATCCTATAGTGTTGATGTTCAATCACCATCATCTTCATGCGGGTCGTATAAGGAAGCTCGATCTCTACTTAATCAGAAGCTGGTTTCCAGATGRCCAAGATCCAACGTTTCATCTCATCAAGGAGCTWACGTGGGGTCTAGGATCACTATGTATTTTGTTGTGTTTTTCTGTTGATTGTTTGATGAGAATGAGACATTTATTGTTAAGGGACTCSAAAAGACTTTTGCTTCAGGAGGAAACCATCCTTAATTTTCACAATGGATGAGAAGGAAAATTCTTGATCAACTTTTATGATAATAAGAAGATTGGGTGAGCTGAGGTGGCTTTTTAACATCCACCATGAAAAGGACCAGTAGTCCCTCCCTCCTACCAAAACCCAAAACTAAACTTTGTTATAAAACTATGTCCACATGGTATAATCAACAATATCGACCCTTTTGAAAAAGCCTTCCTCTGACGAGAGTTGAATTCTTTCCCTTACGCTGCATTTGTTTGCAACGCAAATCTGAACTTTGCACCTGATTCTGTTTTGCATCTATTTATTTGTGATTATAATTAATCTGCACTCTTATCTGCTGCAAAATTTGTATTTTTTTGTCTGAGCTGCACTCATTAATTTTGCATRTGAAAAATGATGCAAAATTTGAATCACTTATTCCCCTCATTTCTCTTTTATATAAATTGGGACCACATCATTTTATTGCTTTGGCTCAGTTTGGAAAAAATGCAATTGTAAATATGTACAACATAAAGCATTGTTTTTTGTATTTTTAAACCTGTATTTACACTCTTTCCAACTATGACTTGAAAACAAAAGGTAAGCCAGGATTTACACCCAGTCCATTTGCACTCTTATCTATTTACACTAGTGCAAAAGAAATTCAAACTACAATCAAAGGGAGCATTAATGTTGGGTTGCAGGAACAAAATAGAATTGAATTCCACTTCTTCCCCTGCTTTCATAATTCGAAGTTACTAGCCCACATGAACAGATGAGCAAAAAACAAGAAAGAAACATTAAAGACTTAAATCTGCAATAGTTTCAGAATTTCTACTCCATTAATGAAATCAACAGCTAAAAAGGGRAACTTGGGCGTTTGAGGAACTGGCTCCTTTTTCGGTTCTTAGGGTCTGTTTGATTTGCATTTRGAATTGGAATCAGAATTAAAATGATGCATTCCTATAATCTGTTTGATTCAGATAGGAATCAAAATCGAAATTAAAATCAACTGAAATGGGTTTTCATTCCCAGAGAAGGGGGAGGGAATGATAATTCTCTGAAATGAAGGAATACTACTCCACTCAAAATATATGAGAATAAAATTGGCCCATCCTGATTCCAATTCCAGACCTCTATTCCCATACACCAAATGGCCCTTAGTCAAACATAGCCCTACTGAAAATTCAAAATCGTACTTCTACTTTGTGCTGGTACAATATTACATGTGTCTCAGTGTCTGGAGATAGATGAAGATATSTATCTTTATTTAATTTTCACCTTACATGAACTCAAGTCAAATAAAAACGTGGGATTTAGCAAAGTACTTGAGAAGTTGGATTATAACCAACTTTTTAGTCCTCTAGTGGCAATTTTTTGACCCAATCCACTTTATCGATCCAACCCACCCATCCATCCACTTGGTGGGTGGGTTAGGTGATGGGTGCCCATTGGATGCCTTGCCCATTGCTTTAGAAGTGGGGTCACATTCAATCCGATCCTGCTTTCCACGCGGCACTAAAAGAACATATCTTCCGTCTATTGAATGTTACACAAATTCAATTATTGTTGATTCAGCAATTCTATACATACAGGATGAGGGCTGTGGGCTGTGTGGGCCGTGGCAGTGCATAGATCCTGCACATAGATCATCTTCATGTAAGCCTTGTTAGAACGAGATCGGCTTGAGTCAATGCAAGGCCCGTTCGAATACTGTTCGAACAGCCTTTACAGCATTGTATCGGRAACATCTCCATACTTCTATACTTTATTTCATTGGAAGATATTCCYAATGCAATACTATGATGGCTGTTCTAATGGGCTTTACATTGATTGAATCCGGTTTTTGTTACAATTATTTAGGGGTGCAAGTCAGGATAGATTAGGTGGGATCGATCACTAATCCTGACCCAACACTAGTTGTTGAATCCCTAACCTTAACCTAATCTTTTTCATATTAGGTTTTGATGATGCACGATTTGGATGCTCTTAGCTAGAGGGCAGCTTGGACATCAGTCCGCTAGGTTGGTCA